ATGCAAATATTATTAAATAAGGGTATATACGTGGTTGATGAGATAATAAAAGACATTGTAGTGGGAGTTAATCTTAAGTAGATTTATAATAGGATATGAAGCCGAGGGGATGAGATAGTACTGGAATAGTACATAAAAGGGTTTTATGTAGCTGCGATTTGAGTTGCAAACAATGTACTATTAAACCATTACGAGATGGGAGTAAGCGCGCGCGGTTTTATGGTACATATTTCCCAAAAACTATTTGTCTGTTACTAAAAAATTCAAAAATTATACAATTAATACTATTTCAACGCGAAACTAGTCAATATAGTCACTTCGACTAATTAATCTAAGGTCGCCCGAGGCTGAGGCACTAATTAATATCACATCAACCCAAAACTGGTCAATACAATGTAGGCCTCAAACGACCAAGGCTAAATTTCAGAAAAGAAATCGTGCATTTTCCCTAACAAATTTAGACGCTTTAATAATTAATATCACATCCACCCGGAACTAGCTAGGAAAATGTAGCGCCTCGGCCGCAAGCAACTTTGGTTAATGATTGATCCTTGATATATGGATCCGAGGGGATGAAATAGTACATAAAAGGATTTTATACAGCTACGATTTGAATTGCAAGTATGGATAATAAAAAGTGTACCATTAAATCATTACGAGCGATTTTATGGTATTCCCCAAAAACTATTTGTATGTTATTAAAAAATCCAAAAATTATACAATTAATACTATTTCAATGCGAAACTAGTTAATAGTCATTTCGACCAATTAATCTAATTAATATCATACCAACCCAAAACTGGTCAATACAATGTAGCGCCTCGCCCGCAAGCGACCTCGGCTTAATTAGGTGAAATAAAAAATCTAACTAAATATCAACCAGGAGTTAGTTAATACGATGTAGCGGCTCGGCCTTAAACGACCAAGGCTAACTTTCAGAAAAGAATCCTTCATTTTCATTTTTGCTTTAGACCACGGCTCAATAATTAATATCACATTCACCCGGAACTAGCTAATAAAATGTAGCGTCTCGGCCGCCAGCAACCTTGATTAACCTTCGCGAGGCATTTTTGCTTTAAACTAAGATTAACACACATAAAAAAACATAATATTAATCAAAAATTAGATATATACGAGAGATGTAATGGTGGTTGTTGAAATAGTAAAAGACATTGTAGTGGAAGTTAATCTTGAGTAGATTTATAATAGGATATGGAGCCGAGGGGATGAGATAGTAGTGGAATAGTACATAAAAGGGTTTTATGCAGCCGCGATTTGAGTTGCAAATATGAGTAGGGTAATAAAAAGTGCGCCCAAAGCGGAATCTTCGCGGAGACACAATGTATATATTAAGCCATTATGACGTGGGACCGTGCGCGAGCGGTTTTATGGTGATTGAACTTCGAATTGTGTCAAGTTGCTTAGCGTGCGGCCCTGCGGAGTTTACGGCCGAGCTTTACTATCGCGCCGTAAAATATTTGAAACGTATTTAAATGAAACTTTTTAATTTGCTCATAAAATCGGATAGTTTTATGCCACTTTTGACTTAACGACGCCCGCCACGAGGTGAGCTCGTCTTATCGCGACGAATCTGAATGGAAACTGTTAAATCGCGACGCCCGAACGCCCGAAACGGGACGAGATCCCCCCGTTAACAGCCCCATAAATGGAGCGGGCGCCCGTAATTCCGTCATGTAATATCAATATGTGCAAATAAAGGGCTCTTCCACGCCACCCCAACAGCTACAAATTCCCTAAGGGTCTCCTCAATGCAAAATCGACCATAACTTGGTCCCTCTGAGCTCCTTCACAAAAAATCTAATTCAACAGAAATCTCAAAATTCGTGCTTTTGTTCTGAAATCCGGAAGTTAATGATTACCAAAGGATAGTAAGGGGGAAGGGGTTGTGGAAAAACGTGACAGATTGGTTGATTAATGTGGCAATAGGGTCGCGGGAAAGTGTATCGTTCAATCACGCGAATTGGACGAATATGAACGCGGCAATCGGAATGGCGTCGGAATCGGATCAGGTCTTGAATTAATCAAATCGAAGGACTCGGTCGCGTTCGCTACACGAGAATTCAATTAATCATTAGGGCCCGGACCAGAAGGGAAAAGGGCTAGTTTTCTAATCGATACCCTTAATCTCCGGAGGTAATTTAACAGCATCACACATGGCTGACTCCTCAGGACCGTTTTGAGTGACAAGCGGTGCAGGAGTTAAATGAAACGTCAGTCAAGATGGCGTGCGGTGTCCTCCGTGAACGCCCAATCCTTGTTCCTCGTCACAGAGCAATAATAAATCAGTTTGTCCGAGTATTGACTTGCCGCCCTGTTAAATCGCGCCCGCGGGGATCTCCTTCCTTCCTGAATCTCGGAGGTAGCGGACCCCTTCGCAATTCTACGATTAATATTCCACCGACATCGAACTCCATTAGCCTGTCGAAGTACATGTGTTTTGTACCGTCTCTATAAACTAATTCGTCCCCGTAATCGAATTCGTTTGCCCCACAGAAATTCAATCGTTCGGTCTCCCCCTTAACCCACACCTTCCATCTCGTCCACTTCCGACCATCCGTTTCGCGGTCAAACCCCGACGGTAAAAATATTTATGGGACCACTGCTTTCAATTCCACCAACCACTTCATCTACATTTCCTCTTAAAACAACAAACCAATAGCACACCTGTTACTGGTTATTCAAGTTTAAAAACGAGTGGTAAAATGTTATTAAAATCTCATTACAGCATCGGATGGTGTAAGGAGTCTCATTACAGCACCCGTTTGAGTACTGTAATAATTTTTATTAAAATTTTTGAATTGACTGTAGATAACCCTCTTTGTGTCTAAGTTTGACGGTCGACAAGTAAAAAGTATATCGAACAATCGTGACAGTTAGGGTGTAAGTAATTGGGGAGTAAAGGGGCGTCCCTCAAGACGTGAAATTGGGTGCACTGGGCCGATGATGACGGAATAGGAAGCGACGTCGAGAAATTGAAAAGCTTTGACATAAATATGTTTAAAGAAAAGCGAACTAAAAAGCGTCCGCGCGTTTACAGTCGGATGGTAACTGATAATTACGTGCGGCCGATCCCGTCGGGGTCGTTTTCCACCCTACGTTTTTGGGGGCGGTTTTAAAGCCGTCGGGGAGCTTTGAATAAAAAGGAGCCCGAATAAAACGTGCGCACTTATAGTAAAAGCCCCGCGTCCCGGTCCCACGGATCCGGGATTTATGATAGTTTAAACGTTAATGGGTGTCATTTCGACTTTTTAAACTTTCACCCGATTCGAAAATTTATCGCTACGCGCCCCCTCCGGTAATCTACTTTATTGAGACCGAAAAGCTTTTGCCATTCCCCATCTTACACCCAAAGATCGATTCAACTTTCATTTTATTATTTTCCAATTTCAATTTTCCCAGTTTCCATTTTATTTGGTTACTAATTGAAACAAATCGTAACGACATGATTGATCGGAAGAGCATGTAGAACAACAATTAGATCTTTTAATTAATTTCTATACGGGGCGGCGGGCGAAGGGGATTGCACCCCCACCATTAGATTAATACGCCATGTGGCCCGTTCTTTCGCACGTTCGACAAGTGCCATTGTGTTCGGATAATGCCCGCTCATCACGCAGCGGGACCGGAAATGGCCGCAATTAAATATCTATGTTTGAACTTAACACCTGATGAATTGGCGTCGCTTCGCTTCGCGTCAAATGCACAGCAGCGGCTTTCATCAAATTTGAATGCGACCCAGTCTCTGTCTCTCCCCCAAACCATTTTAGCCCTTACATTGTTCCACGTTTCCCGGTTACCCATCACTTTACACCGTCCTTCAGCTTTACTACAATGATGTAATGTTTGTTAAATCCACTGGACAGTTTCCTGTTACCAACCCTAACATCTAAAATATACATATATATATATAGATTTGATTAAATATCTCAATTTGATGTGCCACTAAAAAATTGGTTGTTTTTAATAAATCGTAAAAAATTGAATTCTTGAGATATGTGAATAAAATATTTGCGATTTATAGAGGAAGATATGTACTTTTAGATGAATAAAACCTCACGTCTAAATCTTTATTCGTTTTTGAGATAAATTCAATTCAAAACGTTAATAATTTTTCTCTATTTAAAAAAAAATTTTAAAAATCGAGTTTTTAAGATATCTTGATGAAACATTCGGGGTTTATAAAAGAAGATTTGTGCTTTTAAATAAACAAAATCGCACATCTAAATCATTATTCGTTTTTGAGATAAATTTAATTCAAAATTCATTACGTTAATAATTTTTCTCTATTTAAAAAAAAATGTTAAAAATCGAATTCTTAAGATATCTTGATGAAATGTTCGAGGTTTATAAAAGAAAATATGTGCTTTTATATGAACAAAAAATGACTTCTAAATCATTATTCGTTTTTGAGATAAATTCAATTCAAAATTCATAACGTTAATAATTTTTCTCTATTTTAAAAAAAAATGTTAAAAGTCGAATTCTTAAGATATCTTGCTGAAACATTCGGGATTTATAAAAGAAGATATGTGCTTTTAAACAAACAAAACCGCACTTCTAAATCATTATTCGTTTTTGAGATAAATTTAATTCAAAATTCATAACGTTAATAATTTTTCTCTATTTAAAAAAAAACGTTAAAAATCGAACTCTTAAGATATCTTGATGAAATATTCGGGATTTATAAAAGAATATATGTGCTATTAAATGAATAAAACCGCACTTCTAAATCATTATTCGTTTTTGAGATAAATTCAATTTACAATTCATAACGTTAATAATTTTACTCTATTTAAAAAAAAATATTTATTATGATATTTATATTTTAATTATTTAATTCTTTATCATATGTATACTTTTACTAGAACAAAACCGCACTTGGGAATAAAATAATTTATTTTTCTCGATAAAATAATTTTTTAAAAAATCGTGAATTTTTAATTAATAAAAAATTTATATAAATTTCTTTTTTTTTACAGGTTTGGAAAAAGGAAATAATCCCAAAAAATAGAGAAAGGAAAATATTTCTGGAAATAATTTCGTAAGAAAGGTATCATTTCAAGATTTAATATTAATTGTTTGTTAATCAATTCGTATACAAATATTTTGTTAAATAGAAGCTGATAAAACTTGTTGAATGTTATCATAAACGTAACTTTACCTAATCTTAGTTATGTATTAATTCGAAGTCAAAGCAATATTTATCGTTAATTTTAGGTATCACCTTACAAGTGGAGGGCATTTAAACGGTGTTGTTATATGAACCAAATCATTCAACAAGAAGTCTTCTATAAGAAATACAGCTCTTGTAGTTTGTGTTTAAGATGAGTAACGCTTACCAACCGGTATGTATTTTTTTATGTTATTATTTATAATTAATTCATCATGTATAGGATGGAATTCTTCGTAAACATGTTTATTTGGAAACCAAATATCGCCTATCTGGTCCTCAATTTCTCGCCAACAAATTAATTAAATTAACCGAACATTCCGCTTTGAATGTATCGGTTTATCAAGAAGAAGTCGATTTTTACCCACCGGATGAAGAAGTTGATCCTTGGTGTAATATTCCAATGAGTAAGTTAAAATAATTAATTTTTTTTTAAATTTTTTAATTTTGATTTTTTTAGGTGTTGTAACTTACACCATGGTGTTAAAAGAAGTGGTAAACGATATTGAAACCAATTACAACGGAACAAAACTTTTTAACTTCGAAACTATCATCACCAACTACAATCGCTTTTTAATCGGGAAGATTAAGTTGAAGGATGTCTTAAAAGAAGAAAATGTTCAATATACCAATTTCGAGGTTGACATTGAGTTGATCATTACGGAACGTTCTCCTCATATTTACCGTTCATTACTTGTTGTGGTTCCATAAAAAAATGATTTATTACATCATTGTTAAACTTTATTAATCAAGTGTTTTAACTCTTAATAAAAGCTCATAGCAAAAAAACATCCTGTTTAATATTTTATTTTTTTCAAAGATTATCATGAAGTCTAAACAAAGCAATGCGCATGTCTTAAAGATAAGTAGCATAAATATATGACCTGCGAACATTTTATTGTTACATTTTTAATATGGCAGAACAATCGTTAACATTGCCAAGTTGTAGTTCTCAATCCCACATGATTCGAGTTGGCTTATCATTGGGTAGTATAAAACTAAAATGTGAGTGTGAACCCGAAATGGAACAGAAAAAGATTCTTCGTCGCGACCAGTCTTATTACGTCAAGTTTGGATCTTCGGACGAAGGACTTTTACTCGAAGAATGCATCTCGCTCACCACGTACACAAAAATCATTTTTACGTTGAGCCAAAAAATTTGCAAGAAAACTGAGTTGGCCTCTACATCAAAAACGATCCTTGCACCATTCAGTAAGTTAATTCATAAATAAAATTAATTAAATTAATTCAAATCATTACTTAGAATACGTTGAATACAAAATTGCAATTTTCGAAGAAGTTAATGGAATCCTCAAACGATTCACTGGAAAAAAGAACATGAATTATCACACTTTCACCGGTCCAAATCATCGCAGGGTTTCAGCCAACATCTTGCTAACTGATCGTATTGAAGATGTGGTCGATTTCAGCGATTATGAACTCCGCCTTTCAATAATGGTGAAAGAGCCCATTGCGCATGGGTGGACTTCTGAATTTAAATTTTATTAAATTAAAAATGTATAACCTTAAAATAAACGTTAAATAATAATTTCGTATTTAAATGAATCCCAATTCTGATTGGTCCGTTTAAACGCTTGGCCATCTAGCGGCGCTTTCAATTACTATATTTAATAAAAAAGTAGGAATCTTCTTATGCGATTGTACGAGTTCCTAAAATGTTGTTATAAAATGAGACGGAATGCATTAGGTGCCAGTTGAAGAATCACATCCGAACCTTCAACATGGCTTCTGCACTTGCCTCGTCGCCTTTCAAGGTAATAAAAATATAATTCGATTCGATTTATTTAATTTCAATTTGTAGCCTTCTTATCTGATAAATTACCACAAGAATTTAATTACTCATTACAACTTCCAATCGGTATGCACGCTTTTCCGGAAGGAAATCACGTTCCCTTTTAGCCCGGTTATTATCGCCATACAAGAGAGGCAATACAATCGCGGGAAGAAACGTAAGTTATTTTTACGTCGGAAATGACGTTTAATTTCATAAAAAATTTTATTTAGATTACACCGATTACATGGTATCGACTTATGGAAAAACGAAATCCGGTAAAATGCATGCGTTCACCGAGGATGAACATGGAACGAGGCAAATGGCCGGATTCAACACGAAAAATGAGCAATTCTTGACCATTAGACTCAAGGGCAACGTCAACCACTACCTATACGGGGATTATCACATCACCGTTTACGTAAAAATTACTTTCCATGGGTTTGATGACACTAACACTGTTCGTTATTTCTTTGAACCCGGATTAGAACTTGATGAGCTCAATTACGTCCATGTACAAACAATCGAACACCCAAATAGCGAAGTAGAAGAGCCTAGAAGCGAAGAGGCGGAGAAAAGCGAGGAAAACCCGGAAGGAGAAGAGGACGTAGAAGAAGATTCGGAAGACGAAATATCTGACGGACGACCAATACTAAATGTTGCCCATCAACCTCTATTTATACAGAATAGATTCCAAACGTTGGAGAACGAATCTGAAGATGAGAATTTTTCAGCTGAATAGCAAAACATTTAATAAATAAATAATATTTGTGTATTTGCAATTAATAAAAATCTCATTAAAATATTAATCATCGCATTATTTGAAATAACCTCAAATTCCTAATAATCAGCCAATTCTAACAAAACAGAAAAAGGTTATTGGTGTGTGTCAAAATGACACTAAATGATTAAAAACGTTCTTAGATTACTTGATAACTACGAAAGAAGTGAAAAATATTAATTGAGATGTTTTCCAGAAAACTCAAACATTTTAGAATATGAAATAAATGTATTGGATCAAATCAAAACCTCCCCACATCGTTTTTATTTCCTCCTTCTTAGCCCATCACTACGCATTTTGTTGATAAAGATCCTTTTTGGTAATCATTCGTGCCACATCACCAGTTAATTGCAGAAATAGCTTATTGGTGTGTGTCAATATGAATTTGTATTGAATCAACTAAAAACCTCCCTGATTTTGTCTCTCTATAAAATAAATTAATACTTTATGAGTATTTTTTATTTTCATACTTATAAGAAGATTCGCGGTCATATGAAGGTCACAACATTTTTAAATAACTCTTTAAAAATAATGTTTTTGATAGTAAAATAGATTCATATTATTACTATTATACATATTATTATTACACAATTATATAAATAAATTAATTTACGCATTAATCCGAATAAAGTAAATTCCTACTGTAACGATATAGTATATCTGATGAACGTTAGATGGCGGGACTTATTCCCTTTTAGTAGTAACTAAGAATGGAAAGAACCTACACATGTTCCAAAATCAGTTACACGATTGTTCTCATCGAAGACGTTGCGATTTAAAAATGTATCGTCGTAGCTATCTTCCACCACCAAAACCAATAATATGCTTTACAACCACGTTGGAGCTTAATTCCTATTATGTTGGTTCGTCGATTAGATATTTGCTCCATCGTCAATTGGCGCCACGTGAAGGTGTTCCTATAATTGTCAAATTAATGGAAGTTCAAGTGCTTGATGCTTCCCCTCGTAAGTTTTTTGATTAAGGTTTAATTAATTAAATTTTAATTTTTTTGTGATATTTAGCACGAATTGAATATCTCGTTACAATTTATGGATTCAAGGATGGTTTATACCACACCTTTATCGACAATAAAATAATAAATACAATCAACGGAAGCGAATTCGTGAAGATTCACATCCACCTTTCCGGAAAATTGAGTGATGTTCCTGAATGTTATTTCAGTTTTATGATGATACTTGAAGTGAAAATAGCAAATATGCCAGGAAATGTTCGCGTTACGGCACAGTTTACTCAAGATCTTCCGAACTTGCCTCTTTTATGATTTAATTAATACTCTTTGTTTATAACAAATAAACGTATTAAGAAGAAAAAAATTTTTATTTAATTTAATTCCTACCCTTAAGATATGTTACTTCTATTGAACGCTAGAAGGCAGTTGACAATCTTGCCAACCGAAAAACGATATCCCTACTCCATTTTATATCAGTAGTAAACAAAGAGTAAGAAGCTGTTCAGTTACATGATTGTTCTCTTCGAAGAGAAGTCGCTCTAATTCTTAATACATTCTTAAAAATGCTTAATCGTTCGTTGCCGATGCCGCCAACACCAACAATGTGTTTTGCGAGCTCAGTGGAACTTTCCTCACTTTATACCGGTTTTTCCGAAAATTGTTTGTTGCACCGACAATTATCTCCATCCCAGGGAACACCCATAATCATAAAAATATCAGAAATTCAATTTCTTGATGGCACGCTTCGTAAGCATTTTTTTCTAACAACTTTAAAATTATTAAAATTTTTTTTTTTTAACATTCAGCTTCTATCCAATATCTCGTTACGATATACGGATTGACCGAAAACGGCCACTATCACAATTTCATCGACAATAAATTAATCAACGTGATTCCGGGGAGAGGTGAGGTGAAGATTAACGTCCAGCTTACCGGGAGGTTTAATGAAAATCCTCAATGCTTCTTTTGCTTCATGTTTATGTTCGAGATAAACGTGGAGAATATGCCGGAAAATACTCTCCTCGCTGCGCAGTTCACGCAGGATCTTCCGAATCCACCGGAGGAATATTAAAATGATTATTTTTATAAGAATAATTTTTATTTTTTTACTTTTGCAACTTTTATAAGCAAGAAATGATGCTTAATAAAGATTTATTAAAATAATAAAAAAAAGTTTTATTTAAAAATAAATAAAAATATTAAATAATTATATTAATATATATATATAAATTAATATATTAATTTATTTTATATATTATATAAATTTAATTACTTAAATTTTATTATTTTAGTGCATGTTTCCATCTATTAAAAAAGAGCTAAAGTAAGCGTTACAAATATGCATTAATTATTATATTCATAAAAAATTATTCCTTTATTTATTTATTTATTTTTTTCTTAAGGGGTGATGATTAAAGTTTATAAAGCACGAGTTTATTTTAATTAATAAAAAAATTCTTTGGTCAGCGAAAATGTTACGTTTCGAACCTTAATCCTTATTTGTCGCTACAATGTAATATCAACAAGTCTTTGAGTCAGTCTGTGTTAATAGTTCGGTTAAGACGGTCCTACGAAAGCGTTAATTAACAAATAAAATGGCTTATCAGGTATTTAAAAAAAAATTATTAATTAAATAATTTATTAAAAAACTTTAAGGCGGGAAAACTGTACAAAGAAACAATTTGGTTGCAAGCAAATCACCGCAATTACGATGGTTTTTTATTGGAAGAAACGTTTAAAGTTTTAAATAAAACTTCGATTATTATTTCTATTTATCAACATTATTATGATATGGAATATCGAGATACAAATACGTATAATTGTAAGTTTTTTTTAAGTAATAAATTTTTTTAAATTAAAATTAAACAATTAGGGTTCGTGGATTATCAAATTTATATATGGGAAAATGATGAAAATACACTTAAATCGTTCCAAGGCGTAACGGAACTATCACAACGATCATTTAGCGTCTGCCATAAGAAAAAGATTTATGCTAACATCATCCTGGAAAATACTATCGATGAGTATTACTACGAAAAATATAAAGTAGACGTTCGTATTGTTATTAACGAACCTTTTAATAGTATTTGGACTTCTAAATATTTATTATGTTAACAATTTTATTAATTTTATTTTTAATATTTTTATATATATAAACCAACATACCCATGTTATAATATACTTATCAATAAAAACTTGATCTTACTTAGGGAAAAATTTGATAACATACATTTAGCACTAATCGCAATCTCAAGAATTCTAAACTGAATTCGGAGTAAAATGAAATTTGATTCCTCTTATTCATTCACGTATCATGTTATTGTTATCGCGATATAGATTAATAAATTTTATAAAATATGTTGAATTACGATTTTTTTCCTCAAGATAAATAGTTAAGATAAAAATTAGATGAATTCGTTGTTTTTTGCAAGCTGTTAATGGTACCACTCCGCAATCGGAGCATATTACAAAAAAACTTTTAGAACAAAAGTTGTAGCAAATTTTATTCTTAACAAAATTGGTCTCTTGCACTTTTGCTCTCAGATGCTTAAATATCGAGAAAAATATAAAAATATGATAATTTGATGAATTCGTTGTTTTTTGCTGTTAATGGTAACATTTGGGAATCGGAGCACATTACAAAAAAACTTTTAGCACAAAAGTTGTAGCAAATTTTATTCCTAACAAAATTGGTCTCTTGCACTTTTGCTCTCAGATGCTTAAATAACGAGAAAAATATAAAAATTTGATGAATTCGTTGTTTTTTGCTGTTAATGGTAACATTTGGGAATCGGAACATATTACAAAAAAACTTTTAGAACAAAAGTTGTAGCTAATTTTATTCTCTACATAATTGGTCTCTTGCACTTTTGCTCTCAGATGCTTAAATATCGAGAAAAATATAAAAATATGATAATTTCATGAATTCGTTGCTTTTTGCTGTTAATGGTAATATTTGGGAATCGGAGCATGTTACAAAAAAACTTTTAGAACAAAAAATGTAGCAAATTTTATTCTTAACATAATTGGTCTCTTTTACTTTTGCTCTTAGATGCTTAAATATCGAGGAAAATATACAAATATGATAATTTGATGAATTCGTTGTTTTTTGCTGTTAATGGTAACATTTGGGAATCGGAGCATATTACAAAAAAACTTTTACGACAAAAGTTGTAGCAAATTTTATTCTTAACAAAATTGCTCTCTTGCACTTTTGCTCTCAGATTCATAGATATCGAGAAAAATACGAAAATGTGAAAATTCGTTATTTTTTGCTGTTAATGGTAACGCTTGGCAATCAGAGCATATTAGAAAAAAACTTTTAGAATAAAAGTTGTAGCAAATTTGCTCTCTTCCACTTTTTCTTTCAAATTCATAGATATCGAGAAAAATATGAAAATTTATCATTTACAAAGTAATTTTTAAATATCAAGGTCATTTCAAGGTTTAAAAATATTCTTCAATTTATTTGGGATTTATTATGTTAATGTTGTTTAAATAAAAAGAAGTAAGATTAGTTTAAATTTGTGTTTATTAAACACTTAAAAACTGATATTAAAATAAAATATAAAAATAAGTACAACTTTATTAAGAAATTGTTTTTTGTTATTCATTTGCCTCTCCACAATTGTTGTGCATTGGAGTATGGGTAGGTGGCTCAAATTCATTCGATAATAACGGGTCAAACAAAACATTAACCATGTGGTTATTCGGATACCCAATTTGGTTGATTTTTACCTCGAGTTGTAGGCGGTATGTTTTGAAAACTGGGTGATCCAAAGTTTCCCCTTCAAGCTCTATAATGATCCTAATTACATTTTGGCATCTTTTAGCTTCGCATTTCCTGGAACCACCGAAGGTGCTGTAGTACTTCGATTTCGTCATTCCGTAAGTCGAGATCAAATAATCCGCGTGATCTAGATTCAAAAATTATAACAATTAAGTGGATTAAAGTAATTAAAATTAATTTACATGTATCGCCGATTTTATATTGATGCTCGAAGATGTTGATTAAAATGGGGGCGCAAGGGTGTTCTAAAATTTGCTTTTGAATGATTGTTTTTAACGACATTTGGTAGTAAGAACAATGTGAGTTAGCGGTGATTTCGTGGGTTAAATGAAGCGTCTATTAATAAAAATAAAAAAGATTAATAGAATTTGCATTTTATGAAATGTTATTAAGAAATTTACCATGTTTTAGGATACTTTTTCGACCACAACGATAAAAACACGTGCTTCCGTTGCAACTGAAGAAGCAACTGTGAGTGAATTGCATGAATTGCGTGAACTGGGGGGGGGTTTATTACGTCAAGAGATAACCTTAAAATCTTTTCGAATATTGTAACAGGAAGTTCACGAAATTTATAGCGAATTTATAGACTATTTGGTTGTCGTGAGTAAATCAAATTGTTACATTATTGCCCATTCGATGGTTGACTTCTATCGAGTCTGCCACATTAGTAACGAAAAATTATCGTATTAACATTTTTATGGGCGAGTAAGTAAAATGGGAACGTCGAACGTCCGTAGTGGCTATTCAATTAATATAATGGTGAAAAAAAGAGTTGAAAAAGAGAGTTACGACCGACCGGAAGCGATGGTATCAAAAAATACAAAGAAAACGGGCGATTCGCGTGATTTACTCGTCTAAAACAATAGATTCACCCCCTTAATTAAACTAGTAGACAATAAATTCTTCCGTTTTTCGGTTTTTATCGTTGAGATCGCGTAAAGCGAAAAAGCGGGCGAGTACATTAGCATCCATTTAGTGCAAAAGGGGTAACCTGTAATTTATGCATAACGCGTCGGGCGAACAATGGCCAGATCTTGATTGAGTAATCATTATTATCGGGACCGGCGACGACGTACACATTGAAAAACGTTCATTGTTATAGGGGGCCTGCGGGGCCCATGCCACTGATTGAGCCTCCGCATTACGAACCCGTAATTGCGGCTCCTCTAAATCAAACGTGGATGGCGCAATAACAGTTAGAGTAGTAAAGTTAAATTGCAACCGGTGTCCGAACGGAGCAATACTAGCTCTACACTTTTTTGATTGAGTGCTTTTCCGAAAAATTCATAAAAAAAAAGATAACGGGGGCTTTTCCAATAATGCGACTTGAAAATCACCTTTTTTGATTTCTTTTCGATTACAACGCAATCAAGCTAATAGTGGGATGTAAAATTTTTATCAAAAATAATCCGGCCCGTCAAAAACATACATTCGGTTCTCAGATACTATCATTTACCCGGAAATGAAATATTAGTGCATTAGGGCAATTTATTTAATTATACGACACATTTATAATCGGCGATTAATCACAAAAAAAAGAATAACGAAAAAGGGTAAAAATCGTCCCGGTAGATTGTAGGCTTCGATATAGGAACGAAATTTTTTTGGATACACGTCGTCGGGCTACTGATATGGATTGCCTTTAATGACGGGATCGTCATTACCTTTGATTTATATCATGAAAGACAACGTTCAATCAACGCACGTAAGGTAGGAATTAGAGGAAGGCAATAATACTATGAGGGGGGTTGTGTCTGTTTTCGAATTGTCCGGCAAGATAAAAATGAATATAGGCAATAACGAGTACCTATAAATACGCGGCCTACGGTAATCCGCGGCGTGCTTCGCCGTTAAAACGATAGTAATGGACACGCGGGCAGTTAACTCGACGATTAAACTTTCGAAACTGCGCCTCTCGCGCGCGAAGATAACGCACCGCAATCCAATTTGAATGTTTCACTTTATGATCGGCGTCAATTTATACTTATTACGGCCGAATTCGTGCGTTACTATCTAATTGAAAACGCCGTCTCGTTTAATGAATCGTAAATCCATGCAATAATACATTCCATATATTTACCATAAGGGTCAAAATACCATCGACGCATATTATACGCATGCTTTAACTTGTAACACAAAATTGTGGGAAATTTGAATTCAAAATTTTTATACAGCCGAGAGTATTTCTGCCATAAAGTTATTAATAGTATCCCTGCCTGAAGTTTATGGCAAAAATAATCACGACCCAACCTAAGTATTTTTCATGATACTTGGGGTGGCCGACGTCTTCGAAGTCGGCCGAGATTATTTCTGCCATAAAGTTGTTAATGGTATTACTCGAGAGTCAAAACGTGAAACCAAGTGTACCCTGCTTGGAGTTAATGGTAGAAATAATCTCGGCCGACTTCGAAGACGTCGGCCGCGCCAAGTATTTGGAACAGTACTTAGGTTGGGTCGAGATTATTTCTGCCATAAAGTTGTTAATGGTATCATTCGGGATTTGGAACGTGAACCCAAATCTACCCTGCTTGAAGTTTATGACAGAAATAATCTCCACCCAACCTAAGTATTTTTCATAATACTTGGGGCGGCCGACGTCTTCGAAGTCGGCCGAGATTATTTCTACCATAAAGTTGTTAATGGTATTACTCGAGAATCAAAACGTGAAACCAAATGTACCCTGCTTGGAGTTAATGGTAGAAATAATCTCGGCCGACTTCGAAGACGTCGGCCGCCTCAAGTATTTGGAACAATACTTAGGTTGGGTCGAGATTATTTCTGCCATAAAGTTGTTAATGGTATCACTCAGGATTTGGAGCACGAAGCCAAGTCTACCCTGCTTGAAGTTTATGGCAGAAATAATCACGACCCAACCTAAGTATTTTTCATGATACTTGGGGCGGCCGACGTCTTCGAAGTCGGCCGAGATTATTTCTGCCATAAAGTTGTTAATGGTATTACTCGAGAGTCAAAGAGTGAAACCAAATGTACCCTGCTTGGAGTTAATGGTAGAAATAATCTCGGCCGACTTCGAAGACGTCGGCCGCGCCAAGTATTTGGAACAGTACTTAGGTTGGGTCGAGATTATTTCTGCCATAAAGTTGTTAATGGCATCACTCGGGATTTGGAGTACGAAACCAAGTCTACCTTGCTTGAAGTTTATGGCAGAAATAATCTCAGCCGACTTCGAAGACGTCGACCAACCTAAGTATTTTTCATGATACTTGGGGCGGCCGAGATTATTTCTGCCATAAAGTTGTTAATGGTATCATTCGGGATTTGGAGCGTCAAACCAAGTCTATCCTGTTTGAAATTTATCTAAGAGCAAAACTAAAAGAGAGCAGAATAAAAGTTGTAACCTCTTCTTTTTTTGTCATTTGATGCTCACTTGTTTTAATATGGTAGATAATATAATATTAAGTATGGAGCAACTTTTTTAACTCGTTATTTTTATTATTCTAATTTATGAAATCTTAAAATAAGTTTATTTAATTGTTTTATTAATAATTTTCTTAATTTTTCGGAAAGTCGGTTTCATAATACAAAATTCCATTCGTTTGTTATTAAAAAAAAGGTTACGGCAACACTCGCAAAAGACCGGTCGCGTTCATAAAGTCAAAGCTATAAAAGGCGTAACAGTAACACAATATGCTATAGTAAAAGGTATAGGTTGCTCAAGTTGAAATAAACAAAATTTTTTATATCCGGTACGTGTTCGTACTCCTTTTCCCAAGTACTTTGTTTTCTTCTTTAGGAAATTTATTGAAAAAAAATCTCAGATTTAAAACATTGTTAGAACAAGTAAAGATAATTGAAGCAAAGTAGTTAATTTTGCAATCGCTGTTGGGGATCGTAAAGTAAGTTTACGAGTCCCAAAACCGTGTCTAATGGTAAAAAGAGCAGTGTCCGCTTGAATATTCTTATCAGAGGGTCAAAATTGGAACGGTTTAATTTGCCATAAACGTCGTAACTGGTGTAATGGGATTCCTTTGTTGGCGAGACGAGGCGATACAATTTAAGTAATTATTGGGAATTTTTGAAATTTTAACGCTGCCGTCGCCGTATAACGTCAATCAGGCGAACAATGTTACAATTTAAGTGCGGATGTAAATCAAAGATTTAGTACTTGGGTAGTAACCACAGTTTTTTTTTCTGGGAAACGACTGGTATTACCGTGTAATGATATGCGAACGACAAGCGAAAAGGCAATAAAACAAACGAACGTCACCCTTCGAAATGCTTAAAAAACTGGTGATTTACAACCTCGAACAATGTTGTTTCGAATAATATTACAATCAACAATGTATAGAAATGGTCAATCGTGTGTGGTTTATTATTAGTTTTTTTATTATTCCTTTTTAGTGAGGAAAAGTAGGGTTATTGTTGAAAATTATAACTTTGGCTCGAACGAGGAAAAAGCGAAAAAGCCGAAAGGCTAATTACAGGAAGCGAAATAAACGGGACAACAACGTTCTAAAACGTTATTAACTCCCATAAGCTCTATCGAGGAAACGATTGTCGTAAACTACAGCTGCTCTCTTCGAGCATCGAACAACATTGTAGCAACCCTCTGATCCACGAAAGAACTAAATTTAAGTAGCTAACGTTAAATTACGAAATACCAATGTGCCCTTAGATCGACGAATTATATATTTATGCGGCCAGTAAAAACGCCGTTACCCGACTTTACGGTGATACGCAAATTGACAATCAACCGTAAAGTCGAGCTTTAACAATGTGTCGACGAAATCTCCGATCTTTTCAAATAGGGGCCGAAGGGTTGTACTGACACGGGCCGAGGGGGGCGCGTTTCTTTATTTCCTATATACGCATTTACATCTATTTGCATTCGACGACCGGACGGTCATTTATTAACAAAGATCGCCCGCGTCACTAAAGGATTACACTGTCATTCAAATATCCCACACTTCTCTCTCGTCGTTCCACTCTAAACAATTCAAACATTTCCCGCTCCCCCTTTTAACAAAAAATCAATAATACTATGTATATACACAACAAACATGCGCAGTACATGTAATATTTAAAAATTATTACATATCAATTTTTAATTAAAAAAAATTATTTAAATATCCCGCCATTTTTATTTATATTTATTATTTATTTGAGCATGCGTAATACGTATCAAAGATTTTATCGACAGAAATTTAGGAATTTATATATCGGAAATTTCATATAAATCGGAATATATGAAAGTATTACACTATTACTATCACTACAACTAAGAACAAAACCTAGAACTAGAATCATTCGGGTTTAGCCGTCTTGAGAGACGTGCGGCTAAACCCGAATGATTCTAGTTTTAGGTCTTGTGTTAGTTCTAGTGATAGTGTAAAACTAAAATTAACACTAAACCAAGAACTAGAAACATTCGGATTTAGCCGCACGTCTTTCAAGACGGCTAAACCCGAATGATTCTAGTTCTAGGTCTTGTGT